CAGCCGCTCCGTGCCGGGAGAGAGGCCGGGCCGCGGCCGAGCGGGCTTTCCGTCAGGCTCCAGGGACCTGCCGAGCTGCTTCAGGCGCTTACTGAAGCCAAGTGGGAGGGCAGGAGCGTTTTTCTCGTCGCCAGGCGAAGAGCTTCCCGTTCGGATGGACGCTGGGAAGATCTCAGCCGCTCGCTGGCCTTCATTTAGGGCTGCTGGGAGAGTGCCACCCTCAGGGTTTCTTTCTTCGCTGGCCGGTTCCCACCTCACTGACTTTCCTCAGATACTGGCTGAGCTTTAAACGCCCTTGCATACGTGGTGTTCTCCTGCACTCTGAATGATGGCGTTCCCTCCTTTGGCAGAGATCTAGAAGATGGCAGGCAGAAAAAAGCACTCCAAAACACTGTCCTCTAGGTGAAGCCCAGTAGAGTTCAGCCTGTTCGACTGGGGTTACTGATCCCTTTTAGAGAAAATCTTGAGTTTTAATCTTAAGCTATAGCATGCGGTAGGAAGCCAAGAGAGTGGCAACCCATCAAAGTGCAAATAAAGAGCATTTGGGACCATCAGGTGATGCGGTTTTTGATGGACCAATTAGTGAAGTGACAGCGAGGGTGGTTTAATGTTTCTTTGCCCCTGGTACCGGGGAGAGCAGGTGCTTTGGGTTGTTGTTCCTCGGAGCTGAGTTTCATCATGGCAAACATTTGTGTGTTCCTAAAAGCTCCTTAGGAGGCTGCCTGCCATAAGATATTTTCCTTACGCCTATGAAAGGGAGTTACTTCAGTTAGTGTCCTGTGCATCTTTCATGGCATAATTCCTTAAACTGCCTTTTTCTTCCTTGTCTGCCACTCCATCTTCCCATTAATGAGGATTTATTTACATTTTGGTTTTCGTCGCTAGAAGTTGAGAAAGTAATGTATCGAAGGTAGGGCATTGGGTGGTTTTGATTTTTATTTGTGAAAGTGGCGGTTTGAGGATTGGGTTTGGTGGTTTTACAAATAGAGACATGCAAACGAACAGGTGCTATCTTTGCTTTTGTTAATGTGTGAGGAGGAAAGGGAACCAGAGGCTTAAGTGTTTCCTGCGGTCTTCTGTGCCTCTCGCTGCTCTTGGTGTCCTTGGAAATAGTTTTCTGTATGAAGATGCACAATCCCCAGTATTAGAACACTTTATGTGAAAACTTGAATGCTGTTTCAAAACTGAAACTAAGGTGTTCCCTTGTTGCATGTGATCCTCTAGAAGTTACATGTCCTGTATCCCGCAGAATAAGCAAGCCTTGTCAGTCTCCAAGCTGAAATGCAGCACGTTGCTCAAGTTTCAGGTGGGCTCAATTTGCTAATTGCCTTAAAAAGGGATGCTAGCAGTTAACTTTTACCATAAGTATCTTCTTTTCCAGTATCGCAAAACGGTCATACCACATGCCACTGAAACAGCAAGAGAAGTCCTTGAAGAGCCCACTTCCTCCAACATCCCAGATTGTGGGTCTCGGTGACCTTGCAAAAGATCCTCATGAAGTGCTGTCTGGGTGCTGCAGGAAGAGGATCAAAGAGAAGTGGATCAAAGAGACCGATTCAGCTTACTACAGGCTGGCAAAGCAAGGAGGCTGACCTGGTGAGCGTCTGTCTCGCTTGTTTTTCCTTTGTTTTCTTTGGCTTTGCTTGAGCGTGGTGGTAGAAAGTGCTCATAGATACTACATAAGAATCCTCTTGGAGTTTTGAAATTAACCTGTGGAAAAAGTGAGTGCTTGAAAATGTGATGTAAGAGTGTCAAGATGTCCTTGCAGTCTATTGTGTATAGGTACTTTTAGCAAAATGTGTTGTTTTACACTGCATGTGATCTAAGTAGATGATGATGGTGTAGCTGCGCGAGTGAGGTCTTTACAATTTTTGCTTAGGCTACTTGGGTAGCGATCTGGTGAAAATGATGTTGTCACTAAAAAGCATCATCAGAAAACTTCGTAGAGGTTTGTAAAGTGTTGTTTTGTGATAACACATGATCTGTTATCACGCAGTACGTTTTCTCTTCTTGTACGAAGGTGATCCACGGTTTTGTTATTTCCTTTATCACAGGAGGATGTTTGAGGAGGTTGAGCAGATGGCTTGCACGCACACTTAGAGCAGGGTGACAAATCCAGAAGTATGAATTAAGACTGGTAGAAATGTGTGAAAGCATTTAGAGCAAGAAAAACAAGGTACAAGTGGAATGCAATGCTGCAAGGTTCTGACTGTTTTATCAGGGGAGACAAGTGCTCCTTACTGAATAAAGCAAGCACCTCTTCCTGATAAAACAGCTACCTGAAAACAGAGGTAATGCTCTTGCAACTAGATAAGAAGTCAGTAAAGTAGTGTCTCGCCTTTTTCTCTTAAGACCTATGGAAGCACTACACTCCGGTGACAATGAAGTCCTCTCCAGCAGCATATGTCGCACCTGACAGGTAATCACACTGCTCCAGTCCCCCAGTGACTGCTGAGCCAAAGCAAGTCTCCTGAGACCCCACATTACTTGTTGGTTTCTCTCTTCAACTCTTAATGTTTCAGAATACTTTTGTACTGAAGTGCAATATATGTAGTTCTTGTACAAACAAGTGTTAAATCTTTGCCTGCAAGAGCTATGTTTCCTCTTTACCAGATTATATGATTCACAGAGAGTTGAAGGCTGATGACCATCATGGTAATAGTTATAAGACAAGAAGAGGACCTTTTGATTTTGATGTGGAAAGTGTTTGGCAGTGGGACATTGAGGACAAAGAAAACGCAGAGAAAAAGAAGGTAGGCTGGAGAGGGATGATGCTTTGTTTATAGAGCTTATGAAGACATTCTAGGTTAGCCTGTGAGCTCTTGTAGAAGAGAAGCTGTTGTCCACCCAAGTTTCTGTATTCCAGACGCAATTTTTATAATGTAGTTAGAGAATGAGATGAAAGCTGTGTTTCTCATAAGTGCTGTAGGTATAGCTTAAGAACCAGAAATGGTTTCCCACCACATTATATGGTGCTTATACTTAAGTGTGACTGAAAGCTAGTAGTTATTTTCTATTTTCTTATGCTTTATTTCCCCTGCAATTCACTCTTGGTGAATAGAATTCTTGTTTAGTGATCTTGGGCGTGGAAGAAAGAAGAAGGAGGAAGAAACAGAAAAATGTTCTGAAGAAAAGTTTGTTGTAGTTAAGAGACTGCCCTAGCTGTCTTTGAATGGAAGATGTATCCAGGACAAAATAAGTATAGCACAAGCTATGCCTAGAGCAAAGTTTTCGGTGATGATCTTGGCATTTTGTCCTGGAAAGCTCTCTCCCATCCTCCTCCTTTCATCCTCCCTGTCCATTTTAGATGCTGAAGCCTTACATTTTTTCAGTATCTTCTGTGATTTTGGTTGCCTAATTTGCCATAGATATTTGGAATATACATGGAAAGGCATGTGATGTTCTTGAACACCAGTACCTCCCTTCTTGAACAGAGGGGTAGATGTTAGACATTTTGGGAACAAAGTCCTTAACCTTTGCTGTGATGAGTTACTAGTCCAAATTCAGAATGATGGCTTGTGTAAATGGGAATACTTTATTTCTGAATAGGCTTGGGAATGTTTACTTAATCTGTGGAAACAGGCAAACAAGCAATGTATGCTTAAACTATAATTTGCTTGTTGGTGAAACTTTTATTCGATCAGATATTTGATGCACTGAAAATAGAAACTTAGCCTGCCATGGAGCATCTTAAAGGATCAAACTAGGACAGAGAGGAAGTGCTGTCCTTCGCTCCCTTACTTAAGAACCAATTTTCTTCAGTGCTGTAAGAGTCAAACTTAATTTTGATAACATAAGTGTAATTCAAGTCCATGTTGTGACTGGTAGAGTGAAACTGAGGTCTGTTTCTGTTTGGGTGGAGTTTGATCCAGACCCAGTTTCATTTGGTCACGTGAATGGAAGTTCTCGTGTTTTATTTATCACCAAAGTGAATGTATGTTATATATTCAGCTCAAATTCCAAATCTGCTGAGGCCCTGATACAGAATTAACACTGCTCCTCTAGAAGCTGAAGTTGAGTTTCATCTAAGGTACTAAATCTACCAAATCCTCTTCTTTAAGATTAGGTGCCTAAGAAGGTAGATTCTGTGTCCCTAGCTTTAGCTCTGCCACCAGACCACCATCTCTGAAATGGTTGACCTTCACAGTATTGTGCCCTGAAAAGCATTTCATATATCTTGAAACATCACATGGTGCTTCTTTCACAGCTATTTCTTGTGTTTACTCTTATAGGATGTTTCTATCTTATGCTTTAAGAATACCTTCCTGAAGAGTCTTCAAGTGAGACAGTGAAACTAGCCCTACCAACCAGTCTTGATTTTAGTTTTCTCACTATATATCTTGTATGTTGAAATGTAAGAGATGTATTCCAAAACACCACAGGCAGATTTCTAGGGAATGTTCAATTTGTTTATTTGACTACATGATGATACTGCAGCAGCAAACTACCTCAAGTATTGAGACTGGACGTATTGAAAACATTTTTCAGTCCAGTCTGACTAAGCAGTTGCTCAGAAGAGAGATGCGTGACGCAATCATGATGATAAATCCCAAAGGGCACCCTTAGGGACAAGTGCAAAAACATTTTAACCTCTGACTCTGAAAAACATTGTTCCCAAGTGGGCCCTTGCTCTGAAGCTTTAAATCTCTATGTGACTTAGTTCTGAAGTATTAGAATCTCCACCGATCCTGATAGTATGGTTGTCACTGCATAAAGGAGGACTGGAGATCAGGGGGACCATGATATGGTTCTGCGTGCCTTGGGATTGATCCCATAGTTCTTCCCTAATGCCTTAATCACAGGGATGCTTATTGTTCTGGGAATTTTGCAAAGCAGCAAAGATGTATTAGTGCATGAAGGATTTAGCCTCTGTGCTTGGGGCCCGGTGACGGACTACTAGCCCAGGTGGAAGCATCCTTTTGCCTATGTGTCATGTGGACCAGCCAAGTTAAGTTGAGAATGCTATGACCTTAAGAAAGAGGCAGGCCTGTGTATGGGTGGGAGATCTGTTGGAGGTGGTATCAGGGCAATTGCCTCGGCATTAGGCAATCTTTCTGCAGCACCAGTAAAATTACTACTTCATGTCTGAAGTTTAGGCCCTTGCCTGAAATATATATGTGTATATGCATATATACATATGTATGTGATGTAGCAAAAGGATTACTCATTTGAGGTCAGGATTTTACCTCAGAGATTTGAAGTGTGATCTAGAATTTTCCCCTTGCTTGCAGGGGAGCCAGGATTTCATCTGGGGGCTTTCAGCTTTTCATGATGGCATCAGGTATCCATTGTTCTTCATATACCAGCCAGACACAATATGTATGACAATACATGTTTGTTGAATCAGAGACTAATAAATGTGTATGTATAATAAGTGTAGGTAGTAATTTTTAGGGTATGTCATTGCCATCTCTTCACAAAGGGAGAAAATGCTTTAAACTGAGAACATGTAAAAAATGTCTTGCATAACTGGCTTTATCTGGGAAAGTTGATGTCTGTTAAATAGAGGCTTGTCAAAGTGAAAATGCCTCCTCATCTATAACCATTGGGGTGTAGTGGCACGAGGGTCGTCTTTTAATGCTGAGTTTGCCCAGCAAAATAACAAACAGCACCTGACAGGATTGCAGGTACTCTCCAAAACCAAATTCTGATCTGTTCCCTTGCTGCTCTTGTCACTTGTTAGCTGATTTGAACAGTAGGGAATGTTTTGATAGCTGCAATTTATGGTAGCCAGTCTCATTTAGTCCCAAGAAAAGAAAGACAACCTTTGAAACAATGCACCAGACTTGCTAGAAACCTTCAAGTCTTTTCTCATTGCCTTTCATTTCGCCTTTGTTTCCTTTACTTTAGTTTTGACAGTTGGGTCTTTGTCTACCTCTAGACAAAATCTCTCTAGGCTCCCCACCTCATTCTGCCCTTTAAGTCTTTAATTACTAGTCTTCCTTTTCTAGTGCTTCTCTTCAGTGCCAGGAGGCTCATCTCTTTCCATCTACTATTTGTATATCCTGCATATCAAATCGTGTTTCTGTGTTGCCCTGCATGCCATCATGCCTTCAATATGTGACAAAAGTTAATCAAGTTTGGGGATTTCTACTTATCTAATGAATTTTTTTTTGTCACCTGAAACTGGGTAGCTGTGTCCTGGATCTGAAACTTCCATGGTATGTCAGATCTGAAATGGTACAGTTTAATGACAGACAGAAGACAGAAATATCATTTTTTGCACAATAGGATAGCATTTTTAAAATGTAAAATGCATGTAGGCTGCTACAGCATTAATGGATTTGAAAAGCAGTTCTAAACAGCTAATGTGATTTTAATCCTCAGGTTGCACAACAGATGCCACTCTTCAGCTGACATCACTGCTTCTGACATCCCTGTGGGCTCTTTCTTCTCTCCTTTTTTCATCTTTCCTTCTTTGACAAGCATCCTAGTTTTTCACCTCTTTAAGCTTCAACATCGTATCAGTCAGGCTGAAGTCTACTAGCATGTCCACTTATTCTTTACCACATTCTGGAACTTCTGGCAAAACTCTGACTCCACCAAAGTCTGTAGGGATTTCAGCACTGACTTAAAACGGTTTGGATTGATGTCCTGCTTCAGAATCAGTAGAACTGTCTGTCCTAGGCTTCACTTTCTCCCAGAAAATAAGAAAACTTCTACTCTGAACATTCAGATCTGCTTCTTTTAGTGGCTTGTTAATTAGTTCACTGATTGATGTAGTCAGATGCCATTATACTTTTCTTAGCTCTTTCCATACTAAATGTGCCTGGGTTCCTTGAGAAGTCCATGGTGTGTTTACATCTATTTTGGAATCTTCTACTCATGGATGTTTTCATGGGAGTTGTTTTGTAGTGTCAGCAATCCAAGTGTAACTGCTGCTGCTGCATCTAGCTTTTGCACTCTATTCATATGGTTTTTTTCTCTTAACTACTGCAGTAGGTATGTCCACATAGGTGGAAAGTATCTTTCTCCTTAATGTGCTTTTACATTTACGGGACAATACATTTTACTTCTAGTTACCATGTCCTGATATTTTATAATAACCTGAAAGTAATATCTCTTATCCTATGGGGCGCTCTCCTGTGTTCATGTTTAAAAGAGAAAATTGCCAATATATAGGTTCTAATTAAAGAGATATACTAGTATAACACCAAAACTTTGTTAATAAGCTTTGAGAACTTTGTGATATCTTTAAGGGCTTTTTTTCCCCTTCTTCATGCAATGAAGGAAGCTGTAAATAGTTTTTAAAGATGTTTTGGTTTTTCTTTAACTAAAGAATTTCTTAGTAGCTATTAGTGAAAAATACCTGGGAGTTGTTTGGGATATTTAATTTAATGCTTTTATTTGAGAGGGAAGTAAGTTGATCCTTCAGCATCTGTTGATTTGATTGAAGTTATAATAAAGAGCTTTGATATGTGGTGTTAATGTTTCTCTATTACTTTTAAGTTTCCCAACTTTCAGTCCTAGTGTTTGTGATGTCACTTCACTGGTTTTATAGGTGTCATCTTTATCTTACTGAGTCTTTCAGTCAACAGTGTTTCTTTACCTGTCATTACCAAGTGAAAGATGATAAAAGTAAAATACACTTTTCTGTTGTAGGCTTCCCACAGTATATCTGTATTTGTTTGAATTTCAAACCTCTAATTAATGTCCTAAAATTGTGTTGTTATTACATGACATGTTTAATGCTTTTTATAAAACAAAAATATAATTTTAAAAATATAATAATTAAACTGGAAATGAATTTCTGGTTCCACTGACTTTAATTAAAGACTGGGATATTTTCATACACTTCATACAGAGATATGAGCCAAGATGAGAGGTTGCAATGGGTAAGTTTGAATTTGAAGCTTAGCTAGGTGAAGCGTGTTGTGAAGGAAAAGCTTGTGGAGAGCACATTTTGCATTATTGACATACTGAACAAACAGTTGATGATCTAGCATAAAGAAAGGTGCTGTTTTATCTTTTGATTTTTCCTTTGTACTCCTCTACTCTTTCCTATTGACATTATTTCCATAAGTGTAAATTCTGAAGATATTTAGCGCCTTTAATATAATCCTCACTTTTGAAGGTTATATTATCATATAAATCTTCTTGGTTATTTTTATCATAACTCCTTTTACTAAGTTTTCTCTAACACGGGTAAAGCTCCCAGCTATTAACCCTAAATATCCAAGCAGAATGCCAAATGTTTCTACAAACAAGGAATTTAGTGGGAAAAATAAGCTTTCCTTCCCACCTCTGTAAGTAGTACGCTTAGAAAATTCATTAAACTCCTAAGCCTGCAACTATTAATGCATGCAAGTAATATTACTCCTTGTGAAATTGCAGAGATTAGTGGATATGTGCATGGATTTTGTGGATCCTTACTGCTAATAAACTATCTGTTGTGTGTGATACTAAAATAGTTCTACAAACTACTAAAATAATAGCACTTTAACTCATAGAGGAAAGAGAGTATAAATTTGCTTTAGGAAAACTAAGCATACAGTTGCATGTTTCAAAGTAGCACACTTTTATTATATTCTAAATTGCCTGTTTTTTTCCCAATACCAGTGAGCAGATGCAAACAATCATGTACATTAGTTCTGTAAGCATAAGTTACAGAGACACAAGTAGAACTACCATTTTCAGAAAACACACAAACTATAGCCTATATAAGGTCAGGCCCAGCAAAAATACTATATGGAACACCTGGAGGAAGATAATAGTCTTTTAAGCAAATTATTACATCACCTGTGATGTGGTCTAATACCGTCAGCTGTGTACACAACTGAATTGTTTCTGTGTACTTTGTCTTAAAAACAGTAATCCTAGTATGTTTTAGAAATATGTTAATGATGAAAAATAAGTGATTGAACTGTCTAATAAACCTAAGAGCAAATCTGACAAAATTTCACCTTTTGTGCAGCACAGAATGAGTACTGTCAGCCTTTTTTACTTATACATTATCAGTGTAATTTCTTTTTTTTCACTTTTTCTTCTCTAAGACCAGAACTGTGTAAGTATTATGCATGTAAAATTCCAATAAAATGTATGGCTCTTCTCATGTAAAATTACATATTACTGAATTAGGCATAGTTGTGTGCTTTGCTTTTTTTGTGTGGTTTTTTTCTTTATTATTTTTTTTGTTTTTTCTTAGAAGATTACATGTAGAATATATTTTTAGTTATTTAGAAATAAAATATGTTATAAGGCTATTGTCCTTTCTGTACAAAATAAATTTTTCCCACATAATCTCAATTTTTGTTTACTTATGCTATTGTTTTCCTTAATATATTTGGATTTACAGGCCTCCTCAGAGAAAAAGCAAAGCAGTAAACTTTAGCAAATTAATTAGCAGTGGTTATGGGACTGGTTGGTTTCAGCAGTATACTGGATGGGGAAAAAAAGATTCAAGAACCATCAGAAAATAGTGAGCATTCCAAAGGTAAAATTGTTGAAAGCTGTTTCTTTTAAAGTGAATTGGGATCTCAAGGTAACAGCAGAGCATAACCTGAATAATTTGTGTGACTCTCTTTGAATATGGTGAGATAACTGAATTACTGTGCTTAGTTTACAATACCCTATGACCAGCTAAAGAAAAGAGTGCTTCTGTTTGTAGTCAGTGAAGGCAGAGGCTTTAATGGATTTTTTTCATCTTTACAGTTGCAGAAGCATGCTGTGTTCTGATCCAAGGGCTTCTGTGTGACGTGTTTTTGTGAACTGCTGCAGAAACACGGCCACCATCCTGTGCAAATTTAAGCATACCGTAAAATATTTGTTGCCTATTTGTTGTGAATAGTATTTGAGCCCTAATATTTTTCTGTAAACTTTTGTGACAAATATCACTGATATTCATGTTTAAGAAGAAATAGACCACTGTTCATAAAAATTTGTCAAAATAAGTATATGTGTATTGTTGAAGACAGTGGCATTGCAACATTTTAATTAGAAGAAAAGTTATCCAGTGTTTACCTATGATTTCAAACCTTAATTTGTCATGTACAGTAATAGCTATGAAAGACATCACTTGAAAACACTCAGATACAGAGGTTAAAGGGCAGAAAATTCCCCTTCTGTCAAAGACCTTTTGCTTAGGCTTTTTACGGTGGCTTGGCAAACATGGTGGGTGTATCAGTTTTCTATAGCAACCTTTTAAAATACTGTTGAACATACGCACTGCAAGCTCCAACCTTTTCCTCCACGTGAGTATCAGAAGAAAACAGGCAAACAGAAAACTAGAAGTTGTGTGTTATTGTTCAGAAGAAAAACTGCTGTAAAACTAAAATGAAGCCAGATCTTGGTCTGGACTTGAAAGAGGGTGCATAAACTGAGCAGCCGCTCTTCAAAGTCAGCTTAAGTATCCAAATTGATCAGGCAGAGGATGCTGCCTTGGGAGGCACAATGACCTAACAGTTCAACCATGGAGCCTAAAAGTGCTGCTCTTTAGCATGAAAGAAAACCTTTAATATTCTTTTGTCTTCAAATTCTATTCAGCTTTCTTGTGCACTGACATTTTTGCTTTCCATTACTGTGAGTAAAATGAAAGGATTTACGATTTTTGAAACCTCAAATTCGTTCATTTGGTGATAGCTGATTTCTTTAATGTGAAGTGTGCCTCTAATGGGACATTCGGATTATAAGGGAAGCTGAAGATTTTTCAGAGTAATTATTATACTGGTTTGATTATACCACTTACCCATCATTTTGTTTTCTGTGTGTATATTGTAAAGGCTGCTGAAAAGTCAGTATGCTGCATAGTTTGATCTATAAATACATTTTATTTTTTACATGCTTTTCTTTCACAAATTCTTAGATAACATGTCACCGGCTTTGCTTGTATTGTCCTCCTTTGTCAATCATAGCTATTCTGATTGAGACTGATTCTGTATCTGAGTGTAAAAGGAGATTTTTTTTTTTAATGCTCTTAACAGTATAGTTTCATCCAGACATGTACCTTAATTCAGTTTTGACGTTGTTCTTTTCATTCTTTCAGGTATGCACTGAAGGTAGTGCTTGTATTTTCTTTCCCCTTGGGTACTTTTGTCTGCTCATCCAATGCAATTGACAGAATAAGCACCTTGCAGCTCCCTTTTGAGAGTGAGCATTCTCTGTTCCCTCTTGTGTAGGGTAAATCCAAGACACATCAGACAGGAGATCTAACCCATCCCATATGTAAATCTGTAATGTAACACAAATGGATTATAGATTGGCATCATACTTGAATTTTGTAGGTAGCTTGTCTGTCTTGTTAGCTAAAAGTACTGGAATTTGTATACATTTTGACGTGAGAGAGAAACTGAAAATTTTAGCTGACCTTTTTATTCTTCTGGTGGAAGTTAGTCTAAGAACTTTAATATTTTTTATTGCAGATTCAGAGCCATCATAGTCCAAATCAGCACCTGCAAGCAACAAGTCAAAGCCACTGTTTCAGAGTTGTAATAATTAACTTCAAAGACTTGGGGAAAGTAAAGCCTTATATGGCTTATATAGTCCACTATTTGCATGTTTTTTAGATTACTTTTTATAGTGGAACTTATCCCTGGTTGAGAAGTTCATGTAGTTTGTAATACATACTTCATTGTTCTTGAATACAGCAAATTTTATAGTATAGGCAACAGCTGTCAGACCATATTCCTAAACTTTTTCTTAAAATCATAATCAAAACAAAGCAAAACTGAAGTTCTCTCCTACACCAGACTAGTGCTTCTTTGCTGTTGTCAAATAGGGTTACCATATTGCTGCTGATTTGTCTAATCACAGGCATGATATCAATGTGTCCAAACCTGCAAGTTTCTTTTTTCAACTACAGTTATACTCATGAGCTATGCTATAAAGAAAGGTGAAGGGCAACTGTATGGTATGGAATGAAATGTAAATAAAATTGAACTGGTATGGATATTGCAGTGGAAAAAGTCAAACCTTCACTAGAAAGATGTCTTCTTAGTCCCAAAAGCAGATTTACTTACACCAGATATTCAGCTTTCTAGGACGATTCTATTGCTGTGCCTGCTGCATAAGAACTAGTCGATCAGTCATAGTGTTTAGCCACATAATTAAGACCTGGTGGCATTTCCTTTTATAGTGTTGTTATCTAGAAGATGAATCATTAGGTAACAGTGGTGTGGACTAAGCTATACATGATGTATGCACTTTCAGCTGTTAAATAAATATTTTATTTATCCTAAAGTTTTGACTGCGACAAAAATATGCTAGATGTCCATGCTTATTCACACTGGCAAAACAGTTTATACTTTGAAACAGCAATGTATAAAAATTATTTTAATATTTTGAAAACTTTCGATACACTAATATTTTAATACTTCCTCTTTTATTGAAAAGTGAATACATAACTTTTTAATAAGTGCTAATTTTTAGTTTCCTTTTCAGAGTGAGCTCAGTATATTTACACGTTTGAATCCAAGAGATTAAGATTTTAAAATGTATCACTGAATGTACATTTCTTTGAGCCGAATCTTTAGAGGATTTGGCTTAACAATACTTTTCTTTAGAACTTTGGTATGAAAATTGATTGGAAATAGGTAAACATATTGTTAATCTGAACTTTCAGAATTTTCAGTGAACATTTGTGTAAGTTTTGCTGTTGATGTTGTTAGACCCCTGTCTCTTATAC